GCAACTATGTGATGCCCATCCCACAGATGCCAAAAGAGAACACCAAATCTTCTCAAACTAAAGTTATGGATAATTATTAGCAATAATGTGGGAAACCAAGCCCTGGTCCACTGAAAGAGCAGCTAGTCCTCTTAAACACTGAGCCATCTTTCTGGCCTTCCACCATCTCCTCTTCTTCCTCCTTCTCCTCCTCATCATCTTCATCCTCTACCTTCTTTTTCTCTTTTACTTCTTCTGTTTCCATGGAATCTAAATTGAGTTTCTGAAACACTCTTGAGTGTTGAAATGGCCCAGAAGCATAGTCAACATACTGGGGATACATGCTTAATGAATACCAACTCTTCCTTTTCAAGAAGCTATCAAATACCCATAACCCATCAGTTAGTGGTGGGACTACATGCCCACTTGCTCCCTCCATGCTAGGATTTTGTCTTGCTTGAGCTACAGCATATCTTCTTCATGGTGACACAATTGCTATGAGTTTGTATGTCCAACTTCCCTGATGGCTGTAAAACAACAATTCCCTGTAGTCATCCACCACCTCAGGCTATTACAATCTACCTTCCACTTCCATGAGAAGACTCCAGAGCCTCGTTGGGGGCTGGAGTGGGGGGTGATATAGATTTCCCATTTAGGGCTGAAAATTCAGTAGTCTCTTATTTACTATGTGTTTGCTTATTGGTTGTAGGCCTTTGTTTTACTTGCCTTCTACTGTAAGAAGAATCTGTCTGATGAGAGCTGAGAGATGAATTGCTCTATGTGTATGGCAAAACATCATTAGAAGTCATTTTAATGTTATGTATATTTAGTAGATTACTAGTTAGTAGGTTCACTCCTAGGGCCCATGATATAATTGCAGGTTCATGGCCCTAATACCAGTGTCAGGTATGGATTTCGTCTTGAATAATGTGCCCTAAATCCAATTAGAGGGTGCTTGGTTACTCCCATAACATTAATGCTACTCTTGTATTAGGGGGTATATCTTGCCAGGCCAGTCATTATTTTAGCTAACATCGTTCCCAGCTGAGGAATACTGATGATTACTTTTCTCTTCCAGTAGTGTAAATAGCACTTTCTAGCACTATGAAAGCTAATCAGTAAGGAAGAAATCTTTTGGTCAATAATCACTTGCTTTCTCCATGCTTTATGACTCAGTTGTGCATTATCTTCAGTAATAGGGTCTTACTGTCAAATTCTGGAGTATAAGAAGACATTGCCCAGAGCCCCTAATGTTTAGAGATCAATGGGATCCCACTGGCCAACAATTTTAAGAGCAGTAACCCGTGCCTGGTACTGGAATATAAATGTATACATATATTTTATTGAAGTTTTCCTTCTTTCAAAACAAGCATTTCAATATCTCCATTTAACTCAAGGAAAAACTACCTCCATTTTAACTCATCTCTATTCAATACTTTCATTTCTAATTTCACTGTAGTGAAATATATACTTGAAAGGCTTACCTCCATGATAAATCACATGTTTACATTACATTTTTTGCTTTTTGAGTGTGGGATTTTTTTATGGGTGTGCAATTCTTGTCTGAATGCATGTGCAAGTGTGTGAGTATATGTAAATATGTCTGCATGAAAGTATAAGCCAGAGGTCAATCTTAAATGTGTTTCTTCCCTAGGTGTCATCCTCCATATGCTTTTGAGATAAAGTCCCTCACTGGGATGTCAGATGTGCTGATTTGACTAAGCTGACTGGTAAGCAAGTTTGGGCATTCACCTGCCTGCATTTCTCCAGTGTCTGTGATTATAAGCACAATCAATGCACCCAAGTATTTCAATGTTCATTCTACTTGTTGAAGTCAGATCCTAATGTTTATATGACAAGCAGTTACCAAGTGAGCTATTATCTGATTCCTATGTTAAATTTTCTGCACAGTATATTTGAATTACAAAAAGCATACCTACTTTGACTTGTTAGTAAACTAATCTCTGTACACTTAATGACAATTAAAAGGAGAACCCAAGATTTTTCATACAAGCAATACATTCTCTTGTATTACCATGGTTATCTCCAATTATCTGTGACCTTATAAGACATCTTTTAGCCAAAATAATTAAATGACTACAAGTTTTCAAAATGAGCATAAATGACCACTGTGTTATGAAGTGAAATGTATACCGTAGTGTGTACCTCCCTTTGGTATTCAAGAAACTGTTATGAGTCTGTGGTTCAAAGCTTAAATTTCTCATTCCACTTCTTTTAATCTTATCTTTCAACATTGTTGGTAATTAGATACATATGTGTGTAATCTCTTTTACTTTTTTGCTCTATAGAAATCTAGTATAGTTGCTGAATCAACCAGCACTTGTACAGCATACATACTTGATGACAACCACAGAGATTTCACTGAAGCCTTTGTGGACCTGTTTAGCCATGGGTTTTTGGAAAGAGCCCAAAACAGACCAGATGCCACAGTTGAGAAACAAGTATCAAGGAATATGGAAAGTCTCATCACCATCTTTCTGGGAACACTTTTATTCACAGGGGAAAATATAGAACCATGAAGATAATTAATCACATGTGTGCATAATCCCAAAGCCCAAGGACATCGCTTCGGAGAGTTAACTCCCAAATGTTACCTGTCGTAATAAAAACGTATCTGTTGTCTCAGCTAGCATAGGACTGCTTGCTTCAGGTAAGTTACCGATTTTCAAAACAGGAAAACACAGTTTTAAAATAATTAACGTTTTTAAAAAGAAAGAGAAGAGTCGTACATGAATTCAATCATACTATTTACTTGGTTCAAGTAAAAGTAAATCTAAGAAAATAATATTTTTTACTCAAAACAGGAAAACCATGACTGAACTTAAGAGTACACAAGTTATGTTGTAATATTACTCCTTTAATTACAGTTCAGGAAAAAAAAGACTTTATTTGTTTTTATGAGTGTGTAAATACATACATGGAGTCAAGGAAGCTATCTTGTTTATAGTCACTGAAATATGATTTTAGTATTCTGTAGCAAATAATAACATGTGAAACTTCATTAGAAGTGAGTCATGAACCAATATATCCATCACCTGACTTCTCATCCTCAAAAGTCAACTAAGTCATACTAGCATGAAAAGTTATGAGGATCAGTTACTGCACATACACAAAGAGAGAAGCCCTGATGTCCTGGTATGCTTTATCTTCATATGGATTTCATTTCTTAAATAAAAATTATACTTGAAATCTGTGCATGTATATGTGTTTCACTGTCCTTTTTACACTTCCCTTTTAACCTTGGTCTTTGAGTGGTCAGGAGAAATACAGTTGGACTTAGATTTCTCCTGCAAATAAGCAGCAAGCATTATAAAAAAAATAACATACTTTGTAAAAAAATTTATGGTAGCTATCTTGTATCTTATCAAATAGCAGAACACAATTATATATAGCAGAATATAATAAATGTTCTTTATATTAGACAAAAATACTGCTTTTTCATATTTTTTATATTCAGTATTGCTTTATAGTAATATTTATGTCTATGTAAAGGATACACATTTCATAGTTAAAAAATTTGACACTTGTTCTCACTAAATCTTGAGGATATTCCATATATTTTAAATATATTGAAATTTCATATTAGAAAATGTGCTATCCTTTGTGTTAAAAACAGATGGACCTAGAATATAGTATCAAATGATGTATCTAGCCTTAGAAAGAAAATCTAACCATTGTTCTTTCTTATATGCAGATCATAAGTTATAATGTATAAGTGTTTATATGTAAAGTGGATATTTATTTACAATAACTTTTAGGAAAGTGATAAAGAAAGGGTAACTTAAAAAGCATAGTAATGAGTTCATGTGTATAGTAGAATTTGTGTAAGAACACCAAATCCTATCTAAAGCTATAATACAGTTCCAATTTAAAATAAGTTCTCCAGGGGCTGGAGAGATGGCTCAGCGGCTATGACCACTGACTATTCTTGCAGAGCACCCAGGTTTGATTCCCAGCACCCACATGACAGCTAACAACCATCTGTAACTCCTGTTCCAGGGGCTCTACATCTACAATCCTCTTCTGACCTCTGGGCATTTCATGACGTAGGTGCACTTACACACATGCAAGTAATACACTCATATCCATAAAAATTTGTAAAAATAATTTTTAAAAGTCCTTAAGTAGACAGTGTTCAAATGTGATTCTATAAGTGTGGCTGCAATTTTATGAGGAAATCTCATTTTTAATTATGAAATTTTCATTCTTTGAATACCTCTTTAAACTTTAGTATTATTTTTATAAATATTAATTCAAATTTTTCCCTTTTATAAAATGAATTACACACACACACACACACACACACACACACACACATATATATATATATATATATATATCAATGCCTATATAATACATTTTTGATCCCAAATGTTATTCTGTGTGCATTAATCCACTGGAGCCTGGTTAACCTACCAAGAGTCACAACACAAAACATACTGTCTCCTCTTTCCCAGAAGCTATTGGCTTCCAAAAGACACCTGTATCAAACCTCTGTTTCCAAAGGCTCAGGGACCATTGCAGAAGAGGGGATGGAAAAACTGTAAGAGCCAACAGTGGTGGGTGACCACAAGGAAATGAAGTTTTCCACACAGTTGAACAGTTACTGATATGAGCTTATAGATATGATGACAGCATGGACAGTCTCACATAAGGTCAAGCCAGATAAAAAAATAGATGTGGGGACATAGTAATAAACAACAATCCTATCTAAGAAACTAGTGGGAATAAATGCTAATAAACTTTAACAATAAAAATGTACTTCTTTCTGTAAGTATTGAAGAGAGCATCATTCTTCAAGTATGACTTCTCGATTTCTGAGCCTTTCAACTCTTGTGACAGAGACTGTATTATAATCAAATAAATACAATATTTTGAAGTGTAAGATATGACTGCGTGTATTTCTGAGAATGAAAAAATAACATTGAAGATTAAACAATGTTCAGCTATACAGATGTATTCTGGATTTATGTGACACAAAAAGTTTGTTTACAAGAAAAATGGACAAGGGAAACTGCTCTTCTGTGAGTGAATTCATTTTATTGGGAGTTGCCAACGACCCTGAGATGAAAGTGACACTGTTCACCATATTTCTACTTGTGTATCTCATCACTCTTCTGGCCAATGTTGGGATGATCACATTGATTAGAGTAGATCCCCGGCTCCACACGCCCATGTACTTTTTCCTCAGCCACCTTTCTTTCTGTGACCTCTGCTACTCCACTGCAGTCGGACCAAAGATGCTGGCTGACTTATTTTGCAAGAAAAACTCAATTTCCTTCTTTGGCTGTGCTCTGCAGTTCTTCACACTTTGTGTCTTTGTTGACTCTGAGTGCATGCTTCTGGCCGTGATGGCTTTTGACAGATACCAGGCCATTAGCAGCCCCTTGCTGTACTCTGTGAACATGTCCAACAGGGTATGCTCTCTCCTCATGGGTGGAGTTTACCTGGTGGGAACAGCAGATGCCTTGATACATACAATCTTGGCCTTCCGTTTATGCTTCTGTGGGTCTACTGAGATCAACCACTTCTTCTGTGATGTCCCTCCTCTCCTATTAATATCTTGTTCGGATACAGAGGTCAATGAGTTAGCAATATTCGTAATTTTTGGTTTCATTGAACTGAGCACCATCTCAGGAGTCCTTGTCTCCTATTGTTATATCATCTTATCAGTCTTGAAGATCCGCTCTGCTGAAGGGAGGCTCAAAGCATTTTCCACGTGTGCCTCACACTTGACTGCAGTTGCGATTTTCCAGGGAACATTGCTCTTCATGTATTTTCGGCCAAGTTCTTCTTATTCCCTAGATGAAGACAAAATGACCTCACTGTTTTACATGCTTGTGATTCCCATGCTGAACCCTCTGATTTATAGCCTGAGGAACAAGGATGTGAAAGATTCTCTGGAAAAATTGAGACATAAAAGGTGATTTTACATAATTTTATGCACATACATGCAACTTATAGTAGCCATGTCTTTTATTTCATACTTCATGATAATAAAATTAGTAACTTCTTCATATACTTCAGTTTACTGGAAGAAAAAATTGTCTCATCCTCCAATTAAAGGAAAATGTTTTCTAGTGTTCATGCTCTTAAATAGCATTTTATTTTCCCTTCATGAAGCTATTACCCAAAAATTCAGTAACACCATAGTTCTGTTTCCTCATTCTGGCATTTGATCTCAGTCACAGTGGAGTGTATGGAGTTTTTATTCATTGCCTTTCAACACATTAAGATCCTTTTTCTACTACAACTTCATTTAACTTTTCAGTTGTAAATTTTACACGTTAGTGGAAACACAAATATTAAATGTGCCCTCTCCTAATTCTTAGGTTTGAAACACTCCTGAGATTAGAATTCTATTCTCTAAACTCCAGAGCATAATGCCTCAACCAGTTTTAAGGACTTCTTCCTCAGAGACATGTATACTATTTCTTATCAAAATTGATGCAGCCAAAGAAGAAAGCTTCTAAAGCAGCAGTTCTGACAATTACAGGTCATGGTGTAAAGAGGGTATGTTTGTAGTCCAGAATGATGAACCAGGTTAGGGCATTAATACCACTAAACTGTCCTGGCAATGTAGATCTTTGTGCTGGAACTGTCATTTGTAAACTCTTCCATCTCTTTCTCCAGTGAGTATTAATATCATCCTTGTCCATCCTCATTCTGGGAAAGCGAATCATCTGAGATTCATAAGCAATTTTTCCTTAAATGTTAATACTATTTATTAAATAATCACATGCAATAAGGGATTGTAAGCATATATTTAGGTAAATATTGATTATCCCATTCCTGTTATCCAGAGTAATAGACTCACATATAGTAAACAATGTGGATTAACAAACAAAGAAAAAAATAAAATTTAGAAATGTGAAATTTATGAGTGCTTATTACATTTTGTTAAAGTAACATTACCTGAGTATGGTGTAGGCCATCTACACACACACACACACACACACACACACACACACACACACACACACACACATGCTTCTGAAAATGTATGTAAAATGATCATGGATACAAATATAGTGATTTTATAAATCAATGGATATTGAATTCATTAAATATATGTGGCATACTAAAACTTTAGCCCTCACATTTATATTTTAATCATTACTTCTATACATTTCTGATGGCTAAGCACTGAATGAACTTGAGCAAAATGTGCATATGGGCTTTATTTGAAAATCATGATTAAATGACACAATTTTCATTGACAATTATTATAGAAGCTAAATTAAACTGGGCCTCTTTAATTTTACGGATTCCAGAATGAACTAATCCTGTGTGAAAATAATTCAAAATTGAAGTAAACCCCCAGGGGATCTTTGCATGATGCTATTGGACATACTATGATAAATCAAAAGTAATTCCTGGGAAGGACACTTTATTTAGAGAAAAGCTGATATGTACCAGTGTACACAGTTAACCCCTTCTCTTTTGCATTTGTGATTTATGTTCACACCTGAGGTGTGCTTCCTAATAATGCAAAAATCCTAATGCAAAAATAATGCTAAGGGGATACGGAGAATTTAAGAGGTGATAATGACAGAGAATTATGAAATTTGATAATTGTTCTTGAGCTAAACAGCCTGAGAACTCCGTATCTCCCCAGGAACACAGGAACAGTGACAATCAAGTTGTCCATGAAAAAGACAGTGGGAAGTCACCAGTCAGCCCATCTATCCTAGGTTTGTGCTAATACTGTTCAGAATTGTGAGAATCATTTTCTGTTGTTCATAAATCAACTAGACTATGGCATTAGTTATAACAACATGGAATACAAAGAAAAGCAGGAACATGTCAATAAATAATGAATTATATTAAAGAACAATCTATTACATTTTTATTATTTACTTTCATTTTATGTATATGAGTGTTTTGCCTGCATATATATAAGTTAACTCATGTGTGCAACTCCCTGGGAGGCCGGAAGAGGGTGAGAGTTCCCCTGGAACTAGAACTACAGAAGGATGTTAGCCACCATATAGGTGCTGGGAACCAAATCTGAGTCCTACGCAGGTGCTGCCAGTGCTCGAAACTGTTGAGCCATCTCTCCAGATTAAAATACATTTATTTGAGACAGGATCTCTCTGTAGCATCAGCTAGCCTGGAACTTGCTATGTAGACCAGGCTGGCCTCAAGCACATGGAGATCCAACTGCTTCTGCCTTCTGAGGGTTGAGATTGAAGTCATGTACCACCACACTCCTAAGGAATAATTTAAAAGACTGATCCTGGATAGACAATTAGGGTAAGATGGAACCTTACAGTGTTTTTTATTCTGCGTTTCTTGAATTACTAAGGATGTTGAGCACTTTTTATGGTATTTCTTAGCCATTTTTATTTGAGAACTTTCTTTTCAGGTCTGTAGCCTATCTTTTTATTGGTTCATTTATTTTGTTTTTTTTTTTTAATTTCTTTGCATATTTTGGATATGAATCCTCTGTTGGATGTGCAGCAGGTAACAATTTTCTCCTACTCAATGGATTTCAGACATGGAACAGATATGGAATTCAGATATTTAACAGAGCCTCTTGATTTACAATCCTAATTTATTTATTTATTTGTTTGTTTGTTTGTTGTTTGTTTGGTTGTTTAGTGAATTCATTGCTCCTCCAAGGCTGATCAGCTGATAAGAACTTCAATGACTGGGGAGAGTTTGGAATGTGTCAGGTCTAGAGCCTATTTACAATTTATCATAGGCCATCTTTAGCCCCTTAAATAGCCATTTTTTGCCCATCTCTCCATCTGACTTGAAATCTTGTGTATAACAGATAAATATTTTTAGAATGTATTAACTTGGTAGATCAACTTTGACCAACTCGAGATATAAGAAGCCTGCCGGGTAGCCTCTAAGTACTGCAGTGGAATTCTCCCATATTCAAAATAACCCACCTCTCTGATGTCTCCACCAATGTATTTGAAAAGTGTCTTCACTTACAGATTTCTTTGTTCTCTTACTATAAAACATTCATAAAACCGTTACCATGTTGGAAGATGGAATTTCGGGTAACTTGAATCTGTGTTCCTGAGCCATGGTCACTCATATTTGACTCCCAAATGAACTCTCTTATCTCCTTAAAAAAAACATGAAAGCTGATCATTAAGGAAACAATTCGCATTATCAATATTTCTTTCCTCATATGGCCTGATATCATTTGGCATCAAAAAGATTTAGAAGTGGTATTAGAATCCCCTTCTTCTCCCTGGAAAGTACTGAGAAAGCACAGGAGTTATTGAGATTTTTGGTTTATGCTTATGGTTCATGCCCTTTTGATATTTGTGTATTTTTAAATTTATTTTTATGAATGAAAGTTTTCCATTTTCATTTTTGGAAGTAATTTAACTGAATTGATAGATAAAAACTTGTGCATTTTCCAATGATGTCCACAGAATAAAATATCGCTCTGGACAAGGTCAATACAGTTTGGCAAGATTTTGCTGGACCTGTTTGCCAACTATTTACCAATTCCCTTTGCCTTCTGTGCTCTAGAGCTCTTCATGATTTGTTACCTTTGTAAACCTTGAGAGTATATGAATGACGATGATGATTTCTGGTCAGTAGAATGTCACCAGCCTCATCCCTTGCTGTACAGGGCATCTCTGCTCTTTGCTGGGCTTCCTAGTGTGACTGACAGACACTTTGGTACATACCTTTATGTCTCTATTACAATTCTGAAAGTTTACTTTGCTCCTTAAATGTCCCTTCTCCCCTTTTTCTCCCTTGCTCCACTACAGAAGTTAATGAATATTAACTGGTATTTTTGGTGTTATTGAACTGTGTACCTTTTCAAGAATTGTTTTAACTTTTATATAGTAAAGCTCCCCGTGTTCTCTTCATTACCATTAGTTTGTGTTCATCTAATAAATATTGGATTTCCTTATGACACTTTCATGTACATATTTGAGGTATTTTGAAAGTATCCATCTTTAAATAATCTTTAATTTATCCATACTTCCTTCACCATATGGTCCACTTCCTTTTTTTTTTTTCGTACCGTCTCTTCTGTATTTGTATTGACTTTTACATTCCACATATGACCAAACACATGGGTACATGTATTTCTGATCCTGTCTTATTTTGCTCCCATAACACTCCTTTTTTCTTTTTTTATTTTCTTTTTTTTTGAAAAATAACATGATTTTGTTTTCCTGGATACATTAACATAAAAGTAACATGATTTCTCTTTCCATCTGCCCATTATTGGTTATCTAGACTGATTGCTAACTTGGATCTTGTGACTGTGGCTATGCCACTCTCTCTCTCTATTGGATGCTGCCAAAATCTCTTGCTGTACAGAGTATAGTATACATGAATCATATTGTATTTCTGTTTGCTTAATTTTTAATTTTTTTGAGAATTTCATACATGAGTACAGTATTCACATTATTTCTAGCACTCCCAATTCCCCACTAACTCCTTCCAAACATATAAATTACTTTTATATATATAGTAGATATAATAGTAATAAGAGTTCCATTTTGTTGTTTGTTGTTTCTTTGTTTGAGACAGGGTCTTACTCTGTAGCCTCAGCTGACGAAGAACTCCCTCTGTATACAAGGCTGTTCTTGATGTTACAGAGAGCTGTCTGCCTCTATCTCCTGAATACTAGAATTAAAAGCATGTCATTGAATGAGCTATATTTTTTAAAAGAAATTCCACATTAATTCATATTAATTCCAGTGAATTTATACATTCTTTGTTTGAGACAGGGTCTTACTCTGTAGCCTCAGCTGACGAAGAACTCCCTCTGTATACAAGGCTGTTCTTGATGTTACAGAGAGCTGTCTGCCTCTATCTCCTGAATACTAGAATTAAAAGCATGTCATTGAATGAGCTATATTTTTTAAAAGAAATTCCACATTAATTCATATTAATTCCAGTGAATTTATACAGAACTGCTAATTTCTCAAATTTCATG